ACACACACACACACACACACACACACACACACACACACACACACACACACACACAGAGGGGGGAGGGAGAGAGAGAGCTGTTTGCTTGTTCTTAAGGTCTGTTTGTTTTGTTTTCTGTTATGTTTTAATGCCCAGATGGGGTTAAGAGGCGGCCCGGCCTGGCCTCCCCGAGAGAGATATTAAGAGTGCTATCCTTGTGCTGCTTCTGTAGCTTCCCTCGAATTAGCTTGGTAGCAGAAGGTAGTCTGGATCTAAGACTCCCGGGTGGGGGATTAGACTGGATATAGGACAGACACTGGGAGGGGGGGTTACATACAGGGATCAGAGGGCAAATGGCCGGGCATGGGGGAGAGGGAGAAACTCATTGGAAAGGCCTGGAAGGCAGGCTTGATTCTAGCCAACTGGAGAGAAGGGGAGGCCAAATGGGGAGGCTGTGGGACGAACTGGGGGTGTAAGTATTAGAGGGGATTAAGTGTGCGGGGACAATATTGATGCAATATACAGAATGTTTCAGGGGAGGAAGTAGATCAGTCTTTGTTTGTTTTGATTTGTGTGTGTGTGTGTGTGTGTGTGCAGACATACAACTCTGGGAGGGCAAAACACAGGAGGCTGGAGGCCCTCAGTGCCAATTTGCTTAGAAATGCAATGGTTTTAAAAGCTTATGTAGGCCCTTTGACCAATGTGCAACATAGCTTACAAACATTATTAAAAGTTGTCACAATGCCGGCTTGCAGACATTCTGTGCGAGGCAAAATAACAAAACAGGCCGGGAAGGCTTAACGCTGCCCTGCGCAAGTACTTCTCGTCACACTGATTTGTCCCAAGGAGAACTGGGTATATTTGAATCCCAGCCCTGGGGATGAGGCCGATCTGGTCACGCACTGCTGGAGAGAGGGCGGGCAAGAGGATCCCTTTGTCAAGCTGGCCCAAGAGCCTGAAAAGGCGGCCGTTCCGGATTGCTCCTAGGGAACTGCCGTGGCATTCTTGGAGAAGGAGTCCCCCAGAGTACTGTAACTTTTCTAGGTTCAGCTTGCGTCTGATGAAGCTGAGAAGACCAGGGAGGAGAGGCCCAAGACATTTTGCTGCCTGAGGTGCAGTCGGTCTGTCAAAAGGGGCTGAACTCAAGTCTTAGTTCCATGTTGGTCATGGGATGACATTGGAAGTAGCAGGCTAGTGAAGGGAAGGCAGGACACGTTCTGTGTCCAACATCGCTCCTTGGACTTAAAAAGAGGAGACTGGAACAGAAGGCTGACCCTGCTGCCTCCCAGCATCTGCTGCCTCGAGGCAGCATCCTCACCCTTGCCTAGTGGTCGGGCTGGCCCTGTTGAGAGGGTTGGGTTCTTTTTTTTAAAGGGCAAGACAGGTGATGAGGATGCAGCTTGATGGCATCTGTGCATGTGCAGATTCACAGAAACAACCGCAGAATTGTTGGAAGCACCGTATTTTTCCATGTATAAGACGCCCCCCACTTTTCTAAGACAAAAGTAAGAAATCTAAGTGGGACTTAGCAAGTGTAAGGGGGAAGGGATCAAAGCCCTGCAGGATCTCTTTGATCCCTGCTTTCCCTTCCACTTGTTTTTCTCTCCTCAGCTTACTTCCGTGTACAAGACGACCCTCAATTTTGATTCTAAAGATTTTAGACGAAAGCATAGTCTTATACATGGAAAAAATACGGTACACCCCTGAGTAAGCTGGTGCAGCTTCTCCAGCACTCTGGGGCTACATTTCCTGTAATTCCTGGACATCAGCCACACTGGCTGGGTTTATTGAATCATCATCTGAAACTCTGCAAATGCACCAGTTTACCTGCTTCCAGCACAAACCGAGCAGTGGTGCTCTCTCACAAAGCTAGACTCAGCCTGTCGGTTCTGACTAAACATCTTGATGGTTCAACTTTGATCAGCCTGATTTTTTTTGGGGGGGGGTAATGTTTGTGAGATATCTTGCTAGTTCTCAGGATTGGAAAAGAAGAGAGGAGGTCGACTATGTGGACGGCTGACCAAAATAACAGCCTGGTGTGATTGTGACCACTGTGTGACTTGCCTCCCTTAACCAGAGAAGCTTACATCCAGCTTCAATTCAAGCTGGGCTGTTCTAGCTTCTAAAAATACACGGAAGGGAATTTTCATTCCGTCTCTGTGAAGGGGGGGCGGCGGCAGGTGTCATAATTCTTCTAGAGCCACTGAGGAGGTGCACAGCTCTCTCTATTCCATCTCATTATGGAGATGGGAGAGGAAATTGTCCGCGCCTTTCTGCACGCAAAGCACATTGCCATTATTAATTATTATTCTGGAACTGCGTTCTACTTTGGCGGCCTGATCAGTGCTTAGCTGCCACTGGCTCTGTTAGGAGCCCCACGGTGCATTTGGGGGTGGAGGGATCTGGCTGGAAGGATAAGGCACAAATCTGACTTGCAAGCAACTCTGCGCTGCTGCTGCTGTTCTGTCGGGGTGCTTTCCTTCCGAAACTGCAGCACGGAGAGGATTTGGTTTCCAAGACAAGAATCAGGTGCATGAACTTCCCCCACCTCCTTTGCAGTCATACTGCAGTGGTAATTCCAAGACTTGGATTCCATGGACAGCTGAGATGCACATGATGGTACAAGGGCAATATCATCCACTACGATATACATTTTTCTCCATGGGTTGGAAGTTTGCAACAACAGAAATTAGTATCTTAAATTCAGACCAATATCATTTAATCCAAATGTGACATTAAGAGTGATTCCTTGCATCCATTGGCTATGCTGGTTTGAGCTGCCGGTATCCGGCGTTCAAAACATTGAATAGAGCTGGGGAAAGTTGATTTTTGGAATTACGGGTCCTAATCTTTCGGCTTGTACTTCCTGTGCGCAGACGCATAGCGATGTGCTCAGGTTTATAGAGATCTAGGGGTATTCTGAGATAAAGGAGTATGTTGCCTTCCAGATGTTGGGCCTAAACATTTTACCAGCTTCCCTCGCCAGACAGAAAACATTGTAGGGAAGGACATCCTCTCCAATCTGATGTTCCTTGGATGTGTTAGACTTACGGCTCCCATCATCCCTGCCAGCGTAGGCACAGGGGACAAAGAGTATCGTAATCCACCCCATTTGGCAAACACTGGATCATGGAAGAAGACTGATTTAAATGATGAACACTCCCATGCAGCCGTGGTCTCTTGGCCTGCCTGCACACATGAGCAAAAGATGAGAGCAAGAAGAAACTAAACTACTTTCTGTTGCTTACTCTTCTTCCATGATAGAAATTAAGATGGTGTACATTACACAGACTTCCTTAA